GCCTGAGCGACATTGTATGAACAGCCGTTCCCAGAACACTTTATTTGCTGGTGACTTGAGTGAACGTCGTATAGAAATGTAAGATAGGCAGTGGGTTGCCTATAGCAGGGGACGGCGGTACAACCTTAAGAGCTGCCTTAATTCAGCGCTTCATTCGTACAGAAGAAAGCCAGCAGACAATCGATAATGGGGGGGGCGAACCCCCGAAAGACAAGCAAAAATATTAGCGCTCACTTAGACAATAGTACGTACAGGCTTTAGAGTTGGCTTAATCTGGCCCTACAGTTCAGCGTGAGATATGCTGGTGGTCATCGATAGAGAAGGCGTTAATACCCGAGAGGACCGGGCCGAAGCATTAGCCCAGACTCAAGCCAGCGTTGTAAGTGCACATGATAAACCCGGCTACTTAAATTGGCCCATTGGACATAAGGCATCGATTGAAGCATGCATATCAGCCCAATAGGTAAGATTGCTTTTCAGCTCCTTCAGAATGCGGCTCCTATGCTGCATGTGTGATGCTATTTACCGTGGCTGAGAAGGCAGACAGCCGACGTATTTACTGAACACACCAGCAGATCAGTTTGCATTGTGTGTGTTGAAATTCATGCAAAAATTCGGTTGCCCTGAGCACTTCACGCATATGGAACGCCTGCTCCACGACGGGATGATGATTTCCGAAACCTTTGCAGTGACCAATGGACTAAAACAGGGCTGTGTCCTCGCGCCTACCCGCTTCAGTCTCATGGTCTCTGCCACGCTGATAGACGCCTACCGCGACGAGAGTCGCGGAATCCCCATAAACTACAGAACGGACGGACACATTCTCAACATCTTACGCATGCAGGCCTCCACGCGCGTTTCCGCGACCACAGTTCATTATCTGTTGTCCGTGGACGACTGTGCTGTGAATAACACAACCAATACAGACATGCAAAGGAGGATGGACCCCTTCGCCCTAGGATGCGCAAACTTCGGTCTCACCATCAACACGGAGAAAGTGGTGGGCATGCACCAAGTGCCGCCGAGTGCTGATTACAAAGTTTCACGCATCAACGTCAAAAGCGCCGAGCTCAAGAACGTGGACAACCTCGCCTATCTCGGCAACACGCCATCCTGCAACATTCGAATCGACGCGGGATTGCTCGATGGATCTCAAAAGCCAGCCACGTTTTTGGCCAGCTTCAAGCCTCTGCATGGGATCGTAAAGGTCTCCAGCTATCAACGAAACGGAAGAGGTACAAGGCTGTTGTGCTCACAACACTCTTGTACGAAGCGGAGACTTGAACCGTCTAAACCAACCAAGCGCAGAGGCTAAATCATTCCATCTCAGCTGTCTCCATTGGATAATTAAGATACGATGGCAGGAGGGAATACCGGACACGGAAGTCCTGGAGAAAATGGACGTTCTCAGCATCCAGGCCATGCTCAGGCAGATACAAATGCGCTGGAGTGGTCACGTGGTACGGATTAATGACCTACAAATACCCAAACGACTGTTTTACGGAGATGTCGCTGTAGGTGCTCTTTGCAAAGGAGGACAAAAACGGCACTACAATGACACTCTGGAGAACTCTCTGAAGCGTCTCCAAGTCAACACGGCGACCTGGGAGGAACTCGCACAGGATCGATCTACATGGCGAAGAACGGTAAAAACTGGCACAGCAATCAACGAA